ATATTCCTTGCTAAATGGCATTGAAAAGCAAAGCCATGAGTTTTTTTTTTCCTCTGCATCTCAGCTGAGTCGGTAAACAAAATTTATGGATCACAGAATATTTACCCTTCTTTTAGAATCTTTGTTTTGTATGTTTTAGAAGAAAAGCAATTATGCTGCTTCCTATTTTGCGTAAATCTTACACGTGTTATTATTCCATCTTCATCCATTAGAATTTTTTCTCATGCCTTATTTTCTTTTCTTTTTTTTGGAGGTAAGATTTACTGATAAATCTTGACTGCCTTTCAATAATGCTGGACTAGGGATCATTTCTCAATTTATATTTCCCAACTTTGAGGTGGCCTCCTCCTCCTCCTCCTCCCCCTCCCCCTCCCCCTCGCCTTCTCCTTCTCCTTCTCCTTCTCCTTCTTCTTCCAGCCCATTCCAATGGGCAGGCACCACAAATCAGAGGGATGCTTCTTGGTTTTTGATAGATGGCATTGTTTAATCAAAAGGACCAAAATATCCCAACTCTGTCAATTCATATTAGCCAAGCAGAAATCATGGAAGATAGGCAATCCCTCAAATAACCTGGTCCAATGCCATGAAAGTTTTTACAGGGGATAATAAGCACTTTAAATCGTACCCAGAAGCATACTGGCAACCAGTGCAATTCACGAAACCCTATCACAAAACTGGAACTTGCCACAAAGGAATGAAGAGTGTAGCACCATAAAAATGACAACCTCAATTCTCAAACTCATATCAGATCTCAACCTGCTGCCAGTCCAGAGGGATATCATTATTGCCAGTATCAAAAGCCACTGAGAGATTAAGAAGCACAAAGATGGATGTACCTCTGGCGTCACCAAATGTCATCAATAAGCACAATTAATGCTGCTGTATAGGCCTTGAAGGACAAGGCAATGAGTCATTACCAATCAGGGAAGGGAGCCTTGAGCCCATCCAAGGAACTAGTTTGTGAAAATTTCTCAGGTACTCGTCTAATTCACATTTTGATAAGGTGGGGGAAAGGGAAGCTCATTCAGGCTTGGAAGATTCTGTTACTATAAATAAAAATAATCCTGGCCTAAATGGCATTTGTTTCTTCATCTTCTTTAGCTTATAAGACTTGTAGGACTGACAGCTGTCTCTGTGTTTGAGCTGACTGAATAATCTGCTTCCACCAAGATTCTCTACTTGCAGGCACAAACTTCTCAACTGGAAGCAAGATGATAATTAGATGATCTTTTGATGAGGGTGCAAAGCTGATGGCATCACCCCTTCTCTGAAAGAAGCTGATATCATAGCACAAACCCAACTACAATCACATCCTGTGTCACCTCATAACTCAGGAAGCTCTAATAAACAGGTACCCAAATCCACCATGTGAAGAATTCTGTCTACTCCCTCAAGAGTCACCAAATCAAATCTATCTGAGGTAGCACCACAAGATTAGCTCTGGACACTTTAGCTGGAACTGCCCATTTAGAATTTCATCAGTTTTCCAATTATATAATGAGTACACATTTCCAAATGAATGTGCAAAAACAGCCATAAATACTAAATGAGAGAGAGAAAATGAAGAATCAGGACTGGGAAAGTGCCTTAAACATGTTTGCATTTTTGTGCAATAGTTTCCCATCCACCCCTAGAAACATGAAGAACTTAATTTACCCTTCAAATATTTGTAATCAATTATCCCTCTTTAAACCTTTTCTATCCCCCCCCTCATATATGTTTCCAGATTGGGTTTCATAATCATAATGAGATTGAGCAGAGAATTGGAAAAACAGTTTCCTGGATCATATGATTGCCTTGTAAGTAAATTCACTGTGCTGAAGTACTTATTCCACATCTTGATTTTAGGAACCAAACATTCAGTGCTACTTTCATTATGTATTTTAAACCTTTTTGTTCAGAAAATCAAGCCATGCAATTATAGATATTCTTAAGATGAGATACAGTCAAACCTCTCAAGCTAGGCCAAAAACCTTAGTAAACATTTCTCCCCCAAAATTCTCACCACCCCATTCTCCAACTTAGCAAGTTGAAGAAAATTAATATCCTTTTGCCTTAGAGATGTGACTGCATTAATAAGGAATATCGATATTGATATATAAAAGGTTACATTAAAAGGTAACTTTTAGTCAAACTGGCAAGGAAACAAAAGCCTTCTCTACCTTGCAGGTCAGCTTTGGTCAACTCAACTTTGTTAGCAAAAGAACGGAAAAAGCGAAAACAATAAATCAGAGTTAGTAAAATAGCAGATAAACCAGGGTAACGTCTACAAAAATAAATTAAAAGAAATTGGGATAACCAACACAACCCATATGCTCACTTCAGAGATATGGGTGACACCAGCAAGAGACATGAAATGACACCATCAAAGACAACAGACAGACATAGGTGGAGAGAAGTAACTATTATGGCCTTAATCCATCATCAGCTCCACATCAAACCAAATAGCAAGCATAGCATGGAGTACTGGGAAGAGAAACAGAATGGACATACTTCTTGTACAAAGAGTAACACCAGAAGGAACATTAATGGCACAAGATTCACCAATATTTAAAAATGAAGGAGCAAACAGTGAGCTTGTTTAATTGTTTAGTTGCCCATTGAGGAGCTTCCCATGCTCCATTAAATATTGGATTCATTTAAAATAAAAAAAAATGGGAAACCCATTGGCTTCCTTTGTGATGTGCAGGTCCAGAGGAAAAAAATGTTGATAAATTTCTGCTTAAGATCCACTTCCCATGTAAGCTTTTAAGAAGTTATGTACAATATTATGTTGATGTTTTTAAAATAAGACAGAATAACATTTTTATCTACTTCAGAATAATACACTTGGTACTAATGAAAGGTATCTCTGACCCTAACATGACTATTTTATAAATTTGAGCAACCAGATCTGAGCTGCCAAAATCCAGATTATAACTAGATGGCATCAGAGTTTTCTGTATCTGATTGTTGCCATCTAGTAGTTTCCGAGATTGCTTGCACTAGATCTGGTAGCCCTTTATCTTGTAATCAACCTATCTTTTTTGGGGAGGGGTAATCTTTGCCTTCGCTTTCTTTGAAGATTTTAGGTGATGGCTTCAGTTTGGAATACAATCACTCAGCTTTGGCTGCTATGAATTAGTCTTGTTCATATAGAAGGTAGATCTAGCCAACATCAACTTTGTGTTGATGATATCCCATCATATTTGAATACATTTTCATGGGAATGTTCCTGAAATGGAACTTCCTGTTGTTCTGGTCCTTGACTTTATTCTGCATCACTATATTTCTAAATGAAAGAACTAAACTCATTTCAGCCCCTAAATAGTTGATAATTTAAAGGATGCCCAATCCCAAAAGATTCTAGCCATTTATTGCAGTTGCCAAAGAGGTTTATTTTTCTATTATTTTCTGATGAATACACGACTTTGGAACTTTTCCCTATGTGGTAGAGAGATTTGCCCTGCTATTTCTTTTAGAATTTCAGAATCTACAACTACTTGATTTAGGAGGCTCTTCCATTCAGATGATGATCATCACTGTTGTCGCCATCTTCTTCATCATCATAATCACCATCACCATCATCCATTTATATTTATGTTGTTATTTTATTTTGGTATACTTATTTTTCTTGAATTTGGATATTTAGGGTCATTTGCCAAAATGTAGCTCATAAATACATAAATAAACATAAGTTAATGATGGCATCAGGGGTGTGTTTGTAGAGTTTATGGTCTGTCATTCTAGTAATGAATACTGTATCTGGAGTAGATTAGATTGCATGGAGTTAATTTATTCTGGGAATTTTGAGTTCCAGAGATCTCCTGGAACACATATGTTGAGGTACATGAGTCAAATATTCCAAATACTATATGAGCTGAGAAAAACTGGTAGCAGGAGATATTTGTGTCTCTACATGTAATGTAAGGAAAGTTTATTATATACTCTTGCTGTCGCTATAAAATTTAAGTTTAGAATTTGGTTTTATTAATAGTTTTTCACAAGGTAAGAAATATTTAGACTTTTCTTTACAATGTTCTTCATGTGTGTTTGATGGAGATATAAGACAACAGGCATTTTTTGGGAGATTTTACTCTCCAGTTTATGAGCATTCACATAAGAAAACTCAAGAAGAATTGGAAATGTATTTCCTTCTGTTGAGATCTCTAAAATTAGTTATACTTAATTTAATATATTTAGGACAGAGGATAGATAAGGATATAAGGATTTAGAATGTAACATATAAGATAGATAGAGGTAATAAACTAGTGAAAGGAGCAAAGGAAAGATTATCCTTCCATTGACTTGTTAAGTATCTACTGTCCTGTCAAAAAATTAATATTTTAGGAACAAGTCATTACAATAGGTTACTCTGGAATCAATCTTTGGGTTCAGAGTTTCTTTCCCCTATTGCAGAAATTGAAGGGAGGGATGAATAATAAAATATCCCATAAATATTTGATGGAACTCAAAGGACATTTATATCCAATACTCAGGAAAGAAAGAAATCTGGTAAAGCACTGACCCCTCTGCTCTGCTGGAGGATTTGTTAGATAGACTGACTATTCACTTTTGGAACACATTATTATTATGTACTTTAAACTTTTTTCCCAGAAAATCAAGCTATGCAGATATTCTCACAGACCACCATCAATTTAGGGTCTAGTGCTAAAACTGCAAAGGAAGTTTCTGCTTTAGCTTCTAATGCATTAGCATTTAAACAGCAATCCTATGTCACTTGCCTGCTGGCGTGATCACTTGCAAATAGTGTGATTCACTTCTATGGAGACACAGAACACAGTGTAACTCACTATGACTCATCATAAAGCTCCCTGTTTTAAACATTTGCTTTCTTTTTTTAAAAAAAAATATCCATCATACTACAGTCATTAAATAGATTTTACAGAGTTTCTTTTCTCTTGAAGGAATACGTGTTCTACTTTTTGAGCATCAGCACTACACAAAGTTATAGAGGTGGGATAATTGGGCCTTCAAAGAAAATCTACTTTATAGTTTTTTAAAAAAATCTAATTAATGCAATAAATAGGAGATGGGGAACCCTTGAAGGAAGTGGCTCTTCTGTGACACCAGTACACCACATGTCTTTTTAAAATAAAGTGATAGGGTACTTGATATCTGGTAACCAAAATTATTCCTGGCATGTATTTATGACAGTTGCTCTGTCCTGGGGTCATGTGATTAACATTGGTAACCTTCCCAGCTAGCTTCCAACAGGCAAAGTCAATGAGGGAAGCCAGATTCACTTAACAACTGCATGGTTCACTTAACAAATGTAGTGATTCGATGAATAATTGTAGCAAAATGGTCACAAAATGAGGCACAACTCACTTCACAACTGCCTTGCTCAACAAGAAAAATCTGGGGCTCAATTGTGGTCATAAGTAGAGGACTACCTGCATATGTGGTATACAGAATTACAATTATTTATTATTACATCTGCTAAATTTAACATATGGTGAATGAATTTATCTTGCTGGCTCCAATTGTATAGTTACCAGAAGATACCCAGCCAGTAAAATCAGGTTTCAGGATATATAAAGCACATTTAATCTGATAAGTCAACAGCCACATATTGAACCTATTTTGTTTGCTAATTTTAAAGAGAATAAAGATCTTTTTAAATATTTTCTTTAGAGGTGCTATTATCCCTGTCAATGAAATCCCTCGGTAAGAAATGACTGAATAATTAATGGGAAATTCTCACTTTACTCCTTATGACTTACCAAAGACAATGATGGCAATAAGATGAGATTGGTTTTGGTATAAATATGAACTCTAATATAATGTGCATTTCCCAAATAAACGTCTATACCAGAGCACTGTGATTGTTTTTGCACTTCTGTAAGTTTTGTAACGTATTTTGTTGATGCTGTATACAAAATTGCATATAGTCTGAGAAACTATATTACACCACAGCTTGTACCAGATACTCTTTAAGAAAACTTGTATATAGGAAAATTTGTGGATGATAATGTATGTGTTGTGGAAAATTATGTACACAAATATCTAGATATTTCAGATATACTGTATATTTAAATCAAATAATTGGCTGCATAAATAGAATACAATTAATTTTAAAAATATTAATGTTCTGCAAGAACATTCATACACTCCGAAAAAGATCATGGATGCTAAATTTAGAGTTCATAGTGGTAATTGAAAGATGTTACTTTCTTAATTTTTTCCTCTCTCTCATTCACTCTCTTCGTCCTTATCTGTTTGTAAACTATTTCAAATTAATAATTGAGGAATATGATTTTTTTTTAGTTGACAAAATATGTTAGAGAAGAAGCTTCCAGACGTTATATGGAGATGTGTAATAGTCAACTATATATCAATCTGTTTTTTCATTTTATGACTGATTTTCATCTCAGTAAAAAAAGGTACAAGTTCTTTTTTTTAAAAAAATTGCCCAATATAAAATAATTCTTTATCTTGACCCCTTGTTTACTATTAAAATTGATTTCTGTAAGTTATGTGACTGTCCTGGTTTTGATGTAGCTGTTTTTGTTTAAAGTAGTCCAGTCAGCACTGTGTACCTTTTCTGATTAAGCAATCTCATTATATGAATGAAAGTACTCAGATTTATATGTAACTAATGTTTAGAAAATATGATTTGATACAGTCTTTTCTGGCTTAAATTCCGCTCATGCTGATTATGTCATTCCAAAGCTGAAGATCTGAGGGTTGTGTGATAAGCACTAGCTAAGACTAGGATTCTTCACAGTTGGATTCAACAAAGCCCTTAGCTTTGCTAAAATATCTTTATGAAAGTGTGCTTCTTGGAAAGCAATGATCAAGCCTTTAACCAGAAAAGGAAGCAGCAGCCCACAGTTCATGTTAGCCATCACTAAAGATAGTGATTTCAAATTCCAATAAGCATGCATCCAGCTCTATCAATATCTCAGTTATGGATTAATGTCCCAAATTTTCACTTTAAAGCTCAATCCCAGATATATTTAACAAATTATCTCTTTCATTGTATTATCTCTTATGAGCTGACACTTTATATATACGGTAGTTATTTGTCTCATGTAACTATTGTGGTTTCATGCTTGTTTGCATGTAAGATAAGTTCTGCCTTTTCTTTTTTAAGAATCAGAATTACCTCACTGAACATGGTTGTAAAAGATACACAAGATACAAAGGGTCCAATTAGTTCATGCAAGTCTGTACTGATGCACAATGGCTTCCCAAGGTCATTAAAGAAAGATATGGAACTCAACTGCAAATGTCACAGACTGAATCCGATATCTTATAAATGTAAATATGTGTTCCATTACTATATTTCCGATTCTAGTAGAATGAGCAATTTGCTTTTTAAAATAAGTGTTTGTGTGTGCCTTTGAATCACTGTTGACTTCTGGAGATTGCCTGGACTTGTCCCTGAAGTTTTGTTAACAGGATTTCAGAAGTGGTTTGCCATTGTCTGCTTCCTAGGACTAAGAGAAAGTGACTGGCTGAAAGCTAATTATGGACCTAAGGTGGGACTAGAACTCATAGTTTCCCAGCTCAGTGCCTTAAGCAGTTACACCAAGCTGGATTTTGTTTTTACAAAGGATTGATGTTAAGTTGTCCAACTATATAGTCCAACTAGCAAACTAAATAATCAGAAAATTCCATTCTGAAATGTCCCATATAAGATATATTTCTCTAAAACACTGCTGTCTCTGTGTGATGTAGATGGCAGTAATACAGTGACCAAGAGGGGAAAAATATCAATGGCAGCAAAACAGTTTGTTCAAATAATTCACTAATGGTAAATTTAGGTTCAGAACCCTTCAAACATCTGACCATCACTTTGCTATTAAGTAAAATAAGATATAAGTACCATGTATATAAAGCAACCAATATAAGCTGCACAGTTTACTACTCTGGAATAGAACCATTATTTCTCATGGTTCACATATTCATAATTTTTTTTTCTTCTTTATGGAGATGTAGCTAAGCTAACCAGCTGTAAACCCCCCCCCCCAAAAAAAAAGACCTTCTGCCTTGAAGTATCCTAACTATTAATTTATAGAACAAAACCTGTGCTTAGGTGCATCAAGTATTTTAGTGAGTTATAAAAATAACTCATTTCATAATTCACTAAATAACTGGCCATTGACGAGAAATGGAAAGCATGAAAAGCGAAACACAGAAAGTATTAACAGTTATCTTATTATGCCTTTTCAGAAATCAGAAGTTGGATAATAACACAATCATAATGGCATTTGTGAGTTAATATATAAATTAAAATGACTAACATAAAATAAAGTAAAATTCTTGCCTTTGTTCAAGCCTCTAAAGATAATACTGAACTTCTTAACTAACTATGGTACAGATTTCTTGTGTTGCAATCATCTCTAAACTTTCTTTATTCAAAAATGTCAGTTTTGAAGTTATTGACAGAATGCCAAAATTTATTTATTTACTTCTTTTTATAATACCATTACTGAGGACTCTGTAATGAAGGACTGAGTCTAATATCATGGAAGAAAATAAAATCCACTTTTACCATGAATTTCTGTTCTCTTACCTATATAATCTGCTCATCAATGTACCCCTAAAATCTGCTTCATTTGGTTGAGGACTTTCTGGAGTAGATTTAGAGAAATGCAAGGAGCTATAGATAATGCAGCCCCCTTGCATTCTGTAAGTAAATACTGGTTCTTATCATAACATTTTCTTTTTAAAAAGTCACAGTTGTTAAACAGCTAACCCTAAAAGGATTTGTGCCATCATTCAAATGTTGTTTTGTGAATACCGATTGCCAATAATGGAACTATCACCACTTGCACTATCTGCCTTTCATTTCCCTCTTTCTTCACTGTATCTCTCACTGTGCATATATAGTTCATTCTTTTGATAAAAGGTGATTCTAGTAGGAAAAAAAGCTTATAGTCTTTAATATGTCATCAATGTGTTGTTTCCATTCATTTCTTACAGGTAAACATATTAATGCTGCCAGATGACACCAGCCATTGGTGGTTATTGCACAGAAAGAGATATTGTAAGATATTAAAGGGAAGGGGAAAAATCCACATGTGAATGATCCCCCCCCAAATCACAAGTTTCTAAATACAAAGGGTAAGAGAGTCATAGTAACAGCCATTGTGGGAAACTAATTTACTTTATCGATATATCCTGCCTACCTTCTTCTTAAGTGCATGATTCTTTCAAAAGTTTCATTATTCCAGAGCATTACTTCCTGTTACATTTTATACAAAAATCAAAATATGCCCCCCCCCCAAATATGCTCTTAAAGTAGCTTGTTGTTTATTCCAAATTCATGTAAACTATAAAAGACTGATGGAGAACTAACTATGCAATTCACAGAATTCCTAGATGATCAAATGAGAGGTTATCCAGAACATATTGTGGGCCTGCCTTTCTTCCATTGTTTTTGTTCAACCCACTAGAACTAGCAGAGAGGATATGCAACACATCCCCTCTATCAAACAATGTCAACTTTCTTGATCTAGGAGCCATGTCTTCTCTGGGGCAATGCCTACCTTGTGTAATAACATCCCCTCCCCACCCCACCCCTCCAATCCTATTGGCTTTTCATAAGGCTCCTAAAATCTAGCTGCTTCTCCAGGTGTTCAGGCCGAGTGGTTAGATAAAAGGTTGGGCAAGCTTAATGTGGATATGATTTTATAAGTATTATTTCCCTTGAATGTCATGGGCTATTATTTTTAATTCTTTGGTTTTAATCTTTATACACTACCAGAATCGCTGTTGGGAGAATGGTGGCCATATATATTATTTAAAGAAATAAAATATTATATCATCCTAATAAAACTATTATTATGAGTAAAAGAATTATAATTTGAATTTGATTAACTATAATTTTAATTTATAGAATCCTAAGTGAAACTGGGATATGTGTAGTAATATGAAGACCACTATGCATTGTTTGAGGAATACGGATATTTTTACAGAATCCTGCTTGTGGAAAATGACTCAACTGGAAAAATAATGTTCAGATAATATTTGCTGTGTTTCTTATAATCACTGCCTGATTATGAATAAACATCTCCAGTTGTTTCATATATACACAAATTACTGCCAGCTGATGGGAAAGAATGCTTCTAATAGAAATCAACTTAAAGCTTTAATTGTAGAACATGTCTGGATAGCAAATGGATTATTATTATGCCTTAATAATTAGCAAGAGCTTGCAGGATAGGAAACTGAGATCTTATATCAGGATTATATTTCATCATTATGTAATATCTCAATTTTATTTGGGGATTAAATATCCAGATCATTTATACAATAGTCATTCTTCTGCTATTTATTTGATGTTGTTTGGATAAAATCTAATATTATTACTATTCTTGTTTCTGATTTAAGGTGATTAGAATTATAAACATAATCTAAGATATCCAAGTGATGTGCATGCTATATATAAAATGTATTTTTGTGATAGGGATATAATACATCAAATAAGAAAGCCATATAGAACCATCTCTCATTCCAAGATGATTACAAATATGGAACACGTATATGGATAGCATGAGAAGATGTCACAGTGAGGATAGATCAGTAAGAGGCTCTATGGAGGAAATGATTGGCAATTCATAGAACAGCGATGAGGGAGGGAGGACTGAGCAAAAAGGAATTGCACTTTAAGTAAACTATACCTTCACATCCCCGCTCAATCTGCCCACTGCGGTGCAGAGCATCATTAATGAGATCTGGCAGACGCCCATTCAAGTCCACTGATGCTAGACAGCCCTGGAATCCATCTCTCGATGCTACCAACTTTGGGAGGTTGCTATACATTCCTTGAGCCAGTCCAGCAATGTACAGGTCACCTAAAGGAAAATGCATAGCAGACAAGGAAAGACCTAGGAAATCAGTGAGCAGTGCTATTTACAGTTATATTATGTTCAGCATCTTAAAAAGCCTTATTGTTAATGATAAGTTAGGTAATACTAATAGGAGAGAACTTTGCAATATAAACAACTGCATGATATTGCATCAACAATATTATAGTTTCCAAATTACAAACAGTTAGAATTTCACTACATTCTGTATGAGTCAGACTCCAAGTCCTACATTCAGATCTAGGCATCATACTTTAGGAGGAAGATCAAAGGACTAGCGACTGATTCATGGAATTAGGAATCTTTAGTTTAATATTGGGAAGATAGAATTGAGGAGAGTAAGATATTTGTCACTCAGAAGGCCAACTTCTATTCTCCATCATTCCAGGGCACGAGTCACATAACAATAATTTTAACTTACAGGAAAACAGATTCTGAATGAATATAAGGGAAAAAAATCTTAATAAGAAATGCTGTTTTATAGTTGAATCGTTACAAGCTGTGTGTTGTGCTGGACTTCCCTTTACTTGGTTATGTTCAAGTGGAGCAGCAGTGAGACAGCTATCCATTGGAGAGGTTTAATTTGGACTCCTGCCCTAGGGATTGGATTAGAAGATGTAAATGGGCCCTTTCAACCCTATGATGCCTTATATAAAGTTCTTAAGAAATAAGTTCAGCTATCCAGTGCAATATCTTTTTCAAGTCTTATTGCTTTCTACAGAGTCTTTCCCAAACCCACGATCTCTTTATAACTGAAAATACCAGGTATTTATACTCATTATATGGTTTGCCATTCCGGTATTTCCCACATTCAGCTTTCAGATTTTTAAACTGATATGATATTAGGAATAATTATTACCATGCATGGATGAATCAGTTCAAAATTGATCCAATTACTTACCCTTAAGGTCAAGGTTTTTGGCACCATTGATGACCTGAGTAACAACCCTGGTATCCACTTTTAGGCTATGGGTGTTGCTATTGTCTCTAGTGATAACTACATTATGCCACTGGTTGTCATTCAATGGGCGATCACTATTGCCCTTGATAACATTAGGTCCATTTCCAAGATCAAACACGTAATGTATATACCTACAAAAAACAAAAGCTCCTGCTTTGAAAAAGTTCCCCAAAAAATTGTTCTAAATTTCAAATAATAACGGTTTGGCTAGGAACATGAAACAGAAGCAGCTTTGTCAGAGAAACTATGCTCTAACGATAAAGTCATTAAAGTTATAATTTCAAAAAATAAAACAATCCGAAATTAAAATTAGGTTTTAAACACATACGAAAGATTTCTATTAACTAATCCATTGCCAGAGCCAACAGAAGATCTTACCCCTTCACCAGCTCAACTGCAATGAAATCATTTCCATCCCCACTGTTGAAAAGGATGAAACCATCAGCAGAAGTTGTCTTGAACTGGAAGAAGAGATGCATGGAGGTATAGGCCTGCAAGGTTGCTAAGCTCAAGTAGCTGCTCTTGGTCTTGAAGGTAACAGGATCAGCAATGATGTTACGGAGCCCAAAGCGGGCTTTCAATTCACAATAGTCAATGTCTCCATTCTTGCATAAGTCAATGTAGAGAAGGCCATTGAACATGAGGCTCTGAAGGTGGCCAATAAAGCTGGAAGGAATGACAGAGATGTAACGCTTCTCTGTCATTATCCCAGTCTCAATGTTGTGGAACTCCAAGCGAGTGTGATCACCAACCATTGTACCTGAAGATCAAAGCACAAAAAAACTAAAAAAAAAATCTGAATTAATAAAAGAAAGCCTACTCCAAATTATTTCTATCTCTTTTAGGAATAAATAAATGATGGCACATCTTGCTAAACCACAACTTTCAGTATTTCTAATCATTATCAAACTTTTCTAGGAATTTTGGGAACTACAGCTCACCAAAATGTGGAGTGCTAGATAGTTCCTGAACCTTTTTCTATTAATACTAATGCTGTTTCTTTAAGTCAACCTATCATAACCTGGTACATTAAATCTGGGAAGCTACCATGCCAGGAAATTGCAGCTATCATGGTCATTAGCCTTCTTAGCTGAAAATGTTAGAACTACATTCCAACCCATGTGGGGAACACAATGATAAATAAGGATGCTTTAAGGCTCCACCATCTTGTCCAGACTGAAAGCAATGCAATAGAATAGAATAGAATAGAATAGAATAGAATAGAATAGAATAGAATAGAATAGAAGTAGAGCAAAATAGAATAGAAGTAGAGCAGAATAGAATAGAATAGAACAGAACAGAATAGAATAGAATAGCACAACAGATTTGAAAGGGACCTTGGAGGTCTTCTAGTCCAACCCCCTGCTAAGGCATTGGAAGTCTGCAAGCATTAAAAGTCTGCATGCTTGTAAGTTCTGACATTACTCTTCCTTCTTTCTTCTGGCTTTTGAGAAAACAATTCTGCAAAACACGATCACTGAGAAAGTCAGTTGGATATGCAAAGTTAGGAAGTTTCTCCTTAATTCCAGGTAGCTTCTGTTTTTGGTCAGTTTCTAACCATTGTTTCTTGTTCTGCCCTCTGGTGCTTTGGGGAATAATTTGACCCCCTGTTCTTTGTGGCAGCCCCTCAAATACTGGAATACTGCCATCATCTCCACATGAGAATATTTAATACTATGCTTTAAACCATGCTTTAGCATTATGAGAATGCAGCTATAGGCTTTTCTCAGGTTTGTATACTGCTTTTCAATTGGAAAAGCAAAAAAAAAAAAGTCTCAGTCTTCTGCTTCTATTTAGATTAACTACCTCTTAGTGTACTATCTGACCCCTAAAGAATTACAGATTTTAATTATAATTAACAAAAGCAATCATGCTTTGAAATTAGCTATTTGTACTAAACATATTGTCAATGCTGCTAATATCGGATGTTCTTGCTTTGACAACAGATGGAAATGTAGCCATTTTTTCTCTACCGCATTTAGAGTTCGTTGATGCTGGGAGAGGGAATGTGGATGAGAGTCCAGCTAGTCATAACTATAATAACTCAGCCTTGGGAACCCAAGGTTATTAGGTCCAGAGCTGATAGAGATTTGGTGGGCTGGAGAGATGGGGAGAAAGCCCATGCTTCAAGTTAATTGGGGAATGTGATTTATGACTGTTAATTGGAGGAAGGAACTGTGCTTTGCTATTTTGTGCCAGGGGAGGTAATTCAGTTTTTGGCTTCAACTATGTAGTGCCAATACTTTGTTTCTTGAATAAAAGATTGTTTAAGGAAAACAATGCCTTGAAGTTCTTTTGAAGAGATTCATCTGTCATCATGACATTAAGCCAAAACCTCCAATTTTTACCTAACTATCTTGGGGTCCCGAGCCCCAGTCGCTGTCCCTAGAATTGAGGGATAGACTGACAGAGATTCGGGGAAGATCTCAGCATGGAGAAGGAAGGAGTGCCTGAAAGCAGCACCCCAGCAGTGGGTGCTACCTCAGAGGGGGGAGCGCAAGCCAGCTGGTGGAGAAGGAAGTTTTTCAGGCCTCAGTTGGGGGCAAGACCCAAGCCACAAGGACAGCTGATCTGGTCATCCAAATGGACCTGGCCAAAGTGAAAGCTGTAATTGAATGGCAGCTCCCAAAGACTTGCAAACAGCTCCAGAGCTTTCTGGGATTCGCCAACTTCTACCGTCAATTCATCCCCTCCTTTGCTGAAATTGCCCCACCCCTTACGGAATTATTAAAAACAGGTAAAGAGGGAGGAAAGTCGCATCCGGGCCAACCACTAGCATGGACTATGAACCGTCAGACCGCTTTTGAGAATTTAAAAAGACCATTTGGGGTTGAATCAGTCTTAAAGCATCCTTGCCCAGGGGAGCCCTTTGTGATTCAACCTGATGCCAGTGACTTGGCTGTCAGAGCTGCAGGGATGGTTTGGCTTACAAGGGGGGAAAGCTATATTTGCCAGAAACCCTTTGCCTTGATGCACTCCGACACAGCCATGACGTAAAACAGGCTGGGCACTTTGGATATTTAAAAACACTACACCTCATCCGCCCGCAATTCTGGTGGCTAGGATTGAAACGGGACGTGGAAAACTATGTCTGCAGTTGTGCTGTATGTGCCACCATTAAAAGAATTCCAGGGAAACCCCCTGGGTTATTGCAACTGGTGGTGAACCCTTCCCAGCTATGGGAAGAAATTGCTATGGATTTTATAGTAGATCTATCTGAAAGCAGGGAAAATACAATTATCTGAACTGTGATAGATCTGTTTTCAAAACAGGCTCAATTCACTGCCTGCAAAGGGCTCCCATCTGTCCAGCGACTAACCAAGATGTTCCTGAAACATGTTCCTGAAACATATCTACAGACTGCATGGTGCACCAAAACGTGTAATCTCAGACCAGGGGGTGCAGTTTACAGCCAAGTTTTGGAGGGGGTTTTCTTAAACTAATTGGCTCATCTCAAGTACTATCATCGGTCTTTCACCCGTCTACCAATGGGGCAGCTGAATCTGCAAACTCAATGGTGGAGCAGTATCTCTGATGCTATGAGGATTGTCAACAAACAAACTGGACTGGCCTCCTCCCTTTCGCAGAGGTGGCTTACAATAACTCTGTTCACAGCAGCACTGGCTTCACGCCTTTTAAAGTGGCCACAGGAAAAGAGTTCATCCCAATACCCAATTATCCCCAAGCACCCTCCGCTTCCCAGATTCTTCATCAATGGGTGAGGGGGTGGGAGGAAGTCTGGAAAACCACAAAAACTGCTTTGAAAAAGGCTTCCAAGCAGATAAAAAGGGCTTCTCAAAGGACATTCCAAGTTGGGGAAAAGGTTTATCTTGCAACTAAATATTTACAACTTAAGTTACCTAGTAAGATGTTAGGACCGAAGTACTTAGGACCCTTCCCCATTGTAAAGATCATTAACCCAGTCAAGGTGGAATTAAAACTTCCTAGGCTCTTAGGAAAATTTCGCCCTGTTTTCCATTGAAGCCTGTTGAAACCTTTTCGGGGTTCCACCTTAAGACCTCCTCCTAAGAAGGCACCCAGATCCCTCATAGTGGCAGGACAGACTCACTATGAAGTAAAGCATAGATTTTTTAAAGGGAAATTACAGTACTTAGTGCAATGGAAGGGATATCCGTTGTCTAAGGCCACCGGATGGGTGAAATCTAGTGATGTAAAAGCTGACAGGCTCATTAATAGGTTCTGTAAGAAACACTCTAACAAACCAAGAGGCAATCCCTAACCTGTGCTTTTGTTTACATTACAGGATTTGTCCTTTTTGTAAGGGGAGCTGGATGTCAATGCTGCTAACATCGGATGTTCTTGCTTTGACAACAGATGGAAATGTAGCCATTTTTTCTCTATCGCTTTTAGAGTTTGTTGATGCTGGGAGAGGGAATGTGGATGAGAATCCAGCTAGTCATAACAATAATAACTCAGCCGTGGGAACCCAAGGTTATTAGGTCCAGAATTGATAGAGATTTGGCAGGCTGGAGAGATGGGGAGAAAGCCCACACTTCAAGTTATTTGGGGAATGTGATTTATGACTGTTAATTGGAGGAGGGAATTGTGCTTTGCTACTTTGTGCCAGTGGAGGGGAATTCAGTTTTTGGCTTCAACTATGTAGTGCCGATACTTTGTTTCTCAAAGTTCTTTTGAAGAGATTCATCTGTCGGAACCATGACACATATACTTAATGCTTAATCTTAGCATAGTTTGGGTTTGGATAACATGGCAAGAAATTATTCAATTCAAGCAGAATGAAAACATTTCTGTTATGTCTAAAATAGGAAATAAAAGCATAGTGAACAAGCAGAAGTGCAGTCTTAGATCTTTCTTGTAACACTAAGGCGGAGATTTAGCTGTAAATTTTCACCAAGCTCTCCAGTGTTTTTCATTTCTGTGGCAGCATCTGTCTTATGGAAAAGGATCCCCCCAAACTCTGGCTCCAATTCTGTTAGCCTTTTGTAAGGTTCTGAAGACTGTTCAGACTGTTGTAAGGCTGTTTCCCTTGATGTTTGTATTAGGGGCTTAGATGATGTCTGCTCCTGGCTTTTGTGATTGGGGTCATTCTGTTATTCTTTAGGACCAAGGATTGTATGTTGTGGTTCACATTTTAATCCTCATACAACAAAGCCACGGTTGTGATCAATGGTTACACAAATTATTTAATTTAATGAATAAAATGAATAAATCTCTGCATATAGATAAGCTATCTTGTCAAATTTAATACAAACATTTGATTGATGATTGATTGATTGATTGATAATGTGCATCAAGTCAGTGTTGACACTTAGCAAGCATTTTCTCCATAATGATTTATCTTAATCTGGTCCTTCACATCTTCCAACAGTGTCCCTATTGCCACTGTAAGATGCTGCTAGTCATGCTCTTTTTTCCACCTTTCTTACTATTAGAGTCTTCTCAGAGAACTAGGTCTTGGCATAATGGATCTGAAGTAGGATAATTTGAGCCTGGTCATTTTTGCCCCAAGTGAGAACTTTGAGTTGATTTGCTCACTGATCAATTCATCTGTTTGTTTTTGTGACTATCCATAGTACTCTCAGGAGTTTTCTCCAACACAATTGTTCAAATCCGTTATCTTGCTTCTTCAAAGTTCTACTTTTGCTTCTAAAGACCTTGCATTATTCTGATCTTTCTTAGAACAGACAGATCTTAGCCTCTGAATATATTTTGCATGGCCTTCATAGCTGCTCTACCAAATGCTACCTGTGACATACTGTATTTCTTTACCTATTCTTTATACATTTTTTAAAGTTTTAACAGAAATAATAAGAACAACTACAAAATAAAATAGAACAGAGCAAATAAAAAAGAAAGAGAAATAAAAGAAAAAGCTAAAATGAAATAAGAAAAAAATAGAAGAAAGCAGAAAAAGAAAGAGACTAAGACATAAATAGAGGTATAAAGAAGAGCACCTAAGTACTATTATATTTTAACCTCTGTCTCTCTAGTTGCATTGTGACACTCTTCTTTGTCTAAGCATCAAAATTATAAATCACTAGTTCATTTTTTTCACATTTAGGGATCTTTACGACATATTTCTTGACTGCTCGCTCCTTTACTGTTGTTGGTTGATCCTAAAGGGCAGAAACTGTCTTCCACTTTGATATCTTCATTGTCAATTCCAAGCCTGTTATTGTACCTCTTGTCTTTAGTTTGGTCTTCATTATATTTAGTCCCTTTTTTATTAAGCTTTTTTACTTTTATTTCTAGACTTTGCAGATTCTTTGCATTTTCAGCTATTGATTAATTAGATTAATTAGATTGATATTTGCAAAGAATCTGCAAAGTCTAGAAATAAAAGTCTTTGGATTGCCCAAAGACAATGTCAGCTTAGGAAAAAGAACTTTACACCATTCTAACCAAAATCAAATGATAAGGTATCCAAATGAAAAAAGTTTTTTGAATATAAATAATTTTCTCACCTTGATTTCTTCCTATATTAAAGCATAGCTTGGGTTGTTAAAGGGAACTTACTGGTATTCCTGTAAGTGCTACTTTGACCTATCAACTTATTGAATTGTGTCTTCCATGTATATTGCCCTGTTTTTCACTTTGAGGATTTTCCATTAAGTTACCAAGGGCAAGGGTGGCAGAAGAAGGAGAGGGAAAAGAAAAATGAGGACAAAGCCATAAAAATGACAATGTGGTCATCCTGCTGCTTTGCACAGGAAAAAACAGTTTCACTCTACTGTCGGATGTTATTTTGGTTATCATTTGCTCAATGATCTGGCAAGGGGTAAGACAGAAGAAGAGAATGGATAAGAACAGCCTCATTAACTTCAAGTAGCAAATTACCTCTCCATTTCACCATGGCTTGTTTCTATAACGGTCAATAATTATTTGCTTCCAGAAAAAAATCTAATTAAATTATTTTTCCTTATTTACACAAATGTACAGGCATATGGTTCCCATTGTTACCTGCATGTACAAAAACATTCAGCCATTCTTTTACAAGTGTATTAATCTGTAGGCATATAGATGATCTCCAGCTACATAAGTGTTAATTTATAATTCAGTGGGCATGACGCTATATTGTATGCTTTAATAAGTAAGAGTAATTAAAGAGGATTAGGATTTCACATTTGGACTTATCAACTTAATCTTATCAAAACTGGACTATGAATTACCTTAATCTACCCTTCTTAAATAGACACAACTCACTTTCTGACAAGCTTCATTATAGTTAAAGTAACACATGCCATCATGTGGCTGAGCCCTAGAACTGCTTCTCTCTTAGCATTGATAGATTATTCATAGAAGCATAAAGAAATAATAGTTTGATAAATCCAAAATGAGTATACTAAAGGGTAGTAAATATGTAAAATAAATTGAGTTTTTATATTACCCATTTATATTATGGTATTGTCTGGGGAAGAGGAGGAGGAGGAGGAGGAGGAGGAGGAGGAGGAGGAGGAGGAGGGGGAGGAGGACGAGGGGGAGGAGGACGAGGACGAGGACAAGGACGAGGACGAGGACGAGGAGGACGAGAAGGAAGAAGAAGAAGCCTTCTTAAATGAGGAGTTGAATGAAAAGGCACTGCAAGAGGTAATGCAGTAAACACAAAAAGAGAAAGTGGAGAAAAGATAGGAAAGCGAACAGAAAGGAAAGGAAGGAAAGGGCAGCATTTGGAAAAGTGGTGCAATGGAGAATGGATAGGAAATGACTTGGAGGTTGGACATCGAGAGAAGAACATGAAAGCCACTATGGGCCATATCCAACTCGCTGCAACTTGCATCTGGACTGGTATGAAAGTTTTTGCACCTCTGTTCTAGTCTAGTAAAACAGAGGATCTTTGCAAACTTTTTGCAGTTTTTTAAAATTCCTTCAAGATTCTAGAAAAATACCCTATAGATAGAATATGTTCCTGATTTCTTTCCTTGCACTGGGAATGTCCACAGAATTTTACAGGACATGATTGCAGATATGAAGTACAAAGGAATGAAGAACTTACCCAGCATTGATTGGTATTCATTCTTTACAGGAATAAAGTATGAATATAAGCAGAATAGTCTAGAACAGAGGTCCCCAACCTTTTGGGCACCAGGGACCGGTTCCGTGGAGAGAGGTTTTTCCATGGACCAGATGGTGCATGGTTTTGTGTGCTGCCTGCATCGCGCGGATGGGGCTTTGCTTGTTTGTGCGGCCTGCTTGCTGGCTTGCCGCAGCCTAGTATTGGTCCATGGACCAGAGGTTGGGAACCCCTGGTCTAGAATCCTCTCTTATTTCCTTCATCTTTACACAGCATTCCAGACTTTGGTCTGAGTCAAGTGCTTACCTGGCTAATCTTGTTCTTCATAGTGCTGAAATGAGTAGCTATAGTTGCATACAGGGTGATCCAAATTGTTTATGTTCTTCATTCTTCAGGAATATCTCACAGAATTCTGTCTTATATTATGAGATAAGTTCAAATGCAAAGAAATCACATTTAGTAAATAGAGCTGATCCCACTCACCTTCGGCAACATCATCATCAACTGTAAGTTTGAGATTCTTTCCTCGACGTACCACTCGGACTGTGTGCCACTCATTATCATTGAGTTTTTGCCCAGCGTAAAGGGTTTCAGGTCCTTTACCTGGAGACAGCATCAAGTAGAAGCAAGTGTTAAAATCACATCAAATACATAGCAACATTTTGCTTGGTTGGAAAAAACATCACTGAAATCACCTTGGTGTGACTTGTACCCTTAATCTAATTAAAACTGAAGATTATTATTCTTTTACAATGAATGTTGATCTTTTTCTGCCTAGAAATATTTTCGTGTTTTTCATATTTTATCATCTAACAGATATATGCCTTACCTTTCCTCCTAGAGCTCAAGCTGGCTTTCATAAAAATCCTCTTTCATTTTGTGCCTACACCAGTCTTGTGAAATAGGCTTGGTTGAGAAAAAGTGACTGGCTAATGACACTCATTGGTTAATTGAGTTCCCATGGCTAAAGATGGATTTGGATCTGGATCTCCTTAGTCCTAATCAAATACCTTAAACACTACACCATAATGGCACTCTTATCATTCTTAGATTAAAGTTTATCATGAAAACTAACATGTCACTGCTTGATTTCATAGTCAATGAAATTTCCTGATCACAATTTATACCAGGTTCTTTTCAGCAAGCATGATTTCACATCAGGTCAAGCATAAACGACATCAAAACAATTTTATTCTCCTTATGCCTTGCAATGGGTATCACCATCATTCCAGACTTTTCCCTCTGTTTATTTTAATGAAGTATTTTTGCAGGCCTAATTTACACTTAAACATTTCCCACAGATTCTCTGATAAACAATGCTCCTAAAGGCAAAGTTGGATATGCAAAACTTTTTATTTTTCTTTCCCAATAAATACAATTTATAAATTCAGGGCCCTTAGAGAAAAAAGAATATCATTTATGGTAAAAGCAAAACCATGTGTATTGTGTAAATGAGTTCCAAATACAAAAATAAAACTAAAGCTCTTATGGTGTAGGAATACACAAACAACATTAACCGAAGTTTAAAGACTTACACTCCACATGCAGATTCAACTGAAATGATATTTTGGGACTTGTGGTAAATTGAACTTCAATGATGGTTCTATGTAAGGCAACATTCTCATCCAACAAATGATTTGGAATGAGAGGATGAGAGTAGACAACTAAATTCCAAGATGGATGGTTACATGCTATAAGTCTGTATTCAGCCAATATATATTCTAATATTAGACTTAGACATTCTAATTCTAATCTCCTTGCAAAAATTTCAAAATAATCCACAATGTTTATGCAGAAAATATTCTTGCCTTCAATGTGTATTAATTATGTTAGGATAATAATAATAAAGGATAATGTAGTCTGTCTATTCATTCTAGTTTATCAAAGATGGTTGATCTGGTTTAAGTTATTTCAGAAACTGACTCAATTGTCCTCTATAGAATATCCATTTCAACTGCAGTAATCCACGTCTAAGCAGTGAAAGTATAGCTTTTTATTATGAAAATCCAAATATAGATTTGATAGCCTGTAGTGAAGGTCATAAATTGTGTCTATTTTATTATCTTTTCTTTCTGCAGGTTAAGATGACTGCATTGTTTTATTATATTATTATTTCTTCCCATATTTTTATGGACCTTAAAAAATCTTTGAATATTTCTAGAGATTAAAAATCAGATTTCAAAATATAAACAAACTATTAGAAAATTGAATAGAGTCAATTGGGATCTGAACAAATTATCCCAGAATTGGTTGCTTTTATTATGAAGAATCATATAGCACAGATTATTCATGAAAATGTAATAAATATGAAAAGCATCTTTGTTTCTTGCTGATATTCTGTAAAAATCTTGTAGTAATATAAGTAGTTCATGGCTATTATGTCAATACCAACTAGTTAAATGTACAAATTTTCAATCTTTCTGCTGTGCACAGCCATTTTGCTTTTTAGATCAGACCCGAAACCCGATGGCAGGAGTGACTAGGCTGATCCCATAATGATATTAGGAAAGCCTAAGAAATGATAGCCAATTACATTTTTAAATGTATCCAAATGATTCCATTTCTGTCTCTTTTGTGATGTCAACATTACTCATGCATCTGTTTTTAGAATGAGAAAGTTTCAGCTGATTCTGTTAGGTTAAAGGATTAAGGTTTTCTCTAAATGATATATTGGATGGAGTAAGTGCTATATTGGTAATACCTCACTTTCTAGAATGCAGCTGTATATAAAACAAGTGACATTTAGAGATCAAAACTCTGAGTAGCTCAGAGGAGGTTAAAAGAGAAGGGATTATCCTATTTTCAAAGCCTTTTAGCTATTCTTGGAATAAACTTGCAATAAGATTATTGAAAATCATTTTAAATTTATTTATCATCTCTTCCTTCTTTGTTATCTAGCTTTGTTGTTTTCTTTGAATGCCTGTTGTTTTTGTTATTTGGGAGACATCTGCAGTGAGAAAAGAACCATTTGTCAGCCACAATTACCCTCCTGTAAATTTCTGCTCAACATCACCTTTTTCATAGTTATATTACCAAAGTTGCCACAGCAACAAAATGTAACAGTATAGGCAGCAGTGCAGGTGGTCTGTCCAAAAATAATTTCTAAAAATATTATTTCCATTTACAGATAGAGAATTGGCGGTAAATGACCAGAGGAAGGGGAGGGCGGGGGGGGGAGAGAGAACAGCAAATAGACTATTTTCAGATGGCTTTTATGAGATGGCAACGGGTCACTAAGTATTTGTTGTTCTTATTGCTGATTACCTAATTTATAAATACAAATAAGAAGCAGGAAGATTAGCATATACTGTAACAAATGCAGAATAAGAAAGTTATGCCTGAGCTAAAAATTAATTAGTAGGTTTCCATAACTTAGAGCAGGGGATTGGACTAGAAGACCTCCAAGGTTCCTTCCAAGTTTGTTATACTGTTATTGTTACTACAATACTATTCTCACAGTAAGAATGGCATGGATGGATGGATGGATAGATGGAAGGAAGGAAGGAAAATAAAATAATAAAATTGTTTGCTTTTTAGATAGAATATCCCTATCGCAACATTTTGATGCACATTTGGGGCAACATGAAAATGTAATGAATGAACAAACATTAAACCAAAAGAGATGAATGCAATGTTTACAAATATAGCAAACATTCTGATTTTTATTCTATGTTTTCAGTGGCATGGGCCTATGTAAAATTGAAGGTAACTGGTTTACTATTTATTGTACATACATATATATTGGTTAAATAATCATTATTATTTAAGTTGAAAAAATGTACTTCCTTGAGGAGCATTGTAATAAGAGAAAAAATGAACCATAATAAATTATAAATCCATTCACATTCACTCACACATTTATTCTTTATGCAAATACTAGTTTTAAACATTCCTTACCAGAAAACTTTTGCAGCAAAAGGAGGATCACAGAATATGCTTCAGACTTCTTAGCTTTGCTCTTATTTTTCTTACCTGTAAAGTCTCTTTCAGTCCATCTTTCCAGATTGAGGGAGACCATTGCCACATTATAAAATAGCCAAGCTCAATATACTATTCTACTCTATCCACAATACTCACATCAAAATAGCCAACCCACCCCCCCACACCCCAATAAAATCAAAAGTGCAATAAGTCAACTTCCTACATTTTCATTATGATCTGTACTACAAACATACCTACAAGATAAAAATGCAAAAAGCTTTATTTTTTATTGTATATTTTTTTATCCAGTTTGTATACCACCCAGTTACTGTATATACTGTAAGTCTGGGCAGTTTACCATAAAAACAAAAATTACAACACACAGTAGAATCCAAATACTGTTAATCCAAATTCTGTAATGTTTAGTCAAATCTAGTCTCCTCAACATCCACAAGATAGACTTTACCACCTTTCAAAATGACGGGGGGGGGGGAAGAACTCATAAAATGCATAAGCAAGTTTCATAATGGGAGACTGCCACTGAAAAAGAGAATCTATGAGTTCTTGTCTCTTTCACTTAATGCAGGTTGCACACCCTTGGGACAGTTTCTAGAATACTGAGGATAGGCTAAGATGGCATTGAAGTTTTATGGAGGTCTTCAGAGGTTAAACTAGCATTTTAAATTCAATCCAAAAACATACAGGTGATTGAAACACTTTTGCTATACTGCTAAACTTCCCCATCCCCATTGGCTAGTCAGGATATTGCATTTTGTCCCAGTTGCATATTCTGAATTAGTTCCATGGCCCAGGACTCAAAATCTGAAGAAGCAAAGCTGCTCTAGCTGAACTGCTGGAATGACAGCTTTAGGTGACATCAAGGCAGCATCAGAATAGCTGGAGAAGTCAGATGAAAAAAAGTGTGGCCTCCAAAGCCTTAGACTTAATGAGTAGAGTGGAAAGTAGAGCAAAGATGCTCAGTGAGGTTCCTTGTCATGCTTGCCATGTCATGGGGTTTTTTTAACTCAAAAAAAAAAAAAATCTGGCTGTAGTCCTATTTAAGAGGCATCTCTGACCCATATTTCCTGTTGGAAACAACAGTCTGATGCAGTGTTTGGTATATGGTGCCTTCTGCTCATGTAAGAAACTTGACACTCTGACCCCTGTGAAGTCTGCAATCTGCTTTGGCAAGTTATATTTCCAGAAACTCTGATTTATGCTTCTTTGCTTGTGGCTGTTTATCTACCCACTCTTGAGTAAATTGCTTACTATTACTTAGCACATGGGTTTATGTAAGATATCTGAAAAAAAGTTATTTTTCCTTTGTAGAATATTGATGTATAGGTAGTCCTCGACTTATGACCACAATTAAACACAAAATTTCTGTTGTTAAGCGAGACATTTGTTAAGTGAATTTTGCCCCATTTCACGACCCTTCTTGCCACAATTTTAAGTGAATCACCGCAATTGATAAGTTAGTAACATGGTTGTTATTAACTGGCTTCCCCATTGATTTTGCTTTTCAAACAGTTGCAAAAAAAAATGATCACATGACCTTGGGACACAGCAATAGTCATAAGTATGAGTCAATTGCCAAGCATCTGAATTTTGATCACATGATCATGGGGATGCTACAAAAGTTGTAAGTGTGAAAAGCGGTCATAAATCACTTTTTTCAGTGC